GTCGAGGTTTAGGGTTTAGGCTTTAGGGTTTAGGGTTTGAGACCCTGGTCTAGGATCGTGACCCTACACCCAGAACCCTAGATCGCAAGCCGAAGGTTTAGGGCTGAAAGGTAAGAGAATGACTTGGGGTTTTAGGATCTTCGGGTTCAGGGATTAGTTGTTTTTTCTTTTTAGGGTTGATGGTTCGGGGTCGAGGGTTCTTGAAGGTTTAGGGTTTGGTATGTGTTCAGCGTTTAGGGGACTTCGGGTTCCGGCGTTTAGGCTTTGGGGTTTGGTTGTTTTGGTGATTTTGGATTTATTGGTTTAAAGGTGTAGGGCTTGGGGCTTGGAGGTGTGTGGTTTGTGTCACTAGTGGTACTTTGAATGGCTGTTCGCGGGGGTGCTGCAGTGGTTTCTGTTTCATTATTGGTCTTTGGTTTGGTTTCTACGGCATCTAGGCGACGTGCTTGAACATGTTAAACCCTATAAGCCCTAAACCCTAAACCCTAAAAGAAACCCTAAACCAATGAGGTTTTCTTCGGGTTTGGGGATCCCGGTTGGGCTTGGGCGCTGGGGCTTTGGGTTTGGAGTTGAGGGTTGTGTCGGGTTTAGTGCTTGGGCCTCTGGCTTCGCGGCTTACGCGTAAGCCCTGGGTTTAGGGTTTAGGGTTTGGGGTTTAGGGGTTTGGGGTTTAGGGTTTAGGGGTTTGGGGTTTCGGGTTTAGGGTTTAGGGCTTTTCGTTCAGTTTAGGCCTAGGGCTTTGAGTTTAGGGGGCTAGGGGTTGGGGTTTGTCGCTTTGGGTGTCGCTTTAGGAGCGAAGGAGAGGTGTTCGATTCAGCGCAGACAGATGCGAGCGGCGCTTTTGGGTGTGGTTTGCTTAAAAAATATAGGCGCATTAATAATTACCTATACTATTTTGGGGATTCCTGATTATACTTATAGTATAATATACACCAAAACCCTAAACCCCAAACCCTAAACCCAAAACCCTATTCTAATTCTTAAGGCTCCTACATTACTGTCGCCTTGTGGTTTCATGGCGGTAGTTGGTTTGGGGCTGTTGGCGCTGAGGGTTTACCTGCCTAAAGAACCCCAGCTTTTCAGGGTGCCCTAGTCTGATTTCTTTCTGCAAGTCCTTAAGACTAAACCCTAAACCCTAAACCCTAAACCCTAAACCAGGTGGGTTATTTGGGGTTCAGGGTTCAGGGGATGGCGGTCGTTCGGTATTTTTTAAATTTCAGGTCGATGATAGAGCTACCTTTCCGACCGATTCACCAAAGAGCACGGAGTCAACCCCTAATATATAGAGTCCCTAATAATCAGAACAGGCTGCGGGGTCTATACAACGATAATTATAATAAGGGACCCCCCCCCAAGACCCTATTACCCTTTAAAGGATCCCTATTCAAATGATGAAGGCCCCTACACTACACCCTTATAGCCCTGATGGTAACCCTTACAAGGAACCCTATTCAAAGGATTAAGGCCTATCCCCTAAACCCTAAACCCTACCCCCCTTAAACCCCGGTGTTTTCCTTGAAACCTTCTATCCCTAAACCGCGGTTCCAGAAGTCGGCAAGTCGCAGGAAGCGTTACATCAGATACAGAATCCTACTTACCATCAGAAGACAGGCTCGTTATTATAAGGGCCCTGAATATAGGATCGTTATTATAAGGGCCCTTACTTAATGTAGGATCGTTATTGTAAGGGCCCTGAACATAGGATCGTTATTACAAAGGGCCCTTGACTCCTTTTTTAGATAAAGGGGTGTGGGGATTCCGGGGTTTTAGGCTTTAGGGTTGGCGAAGATTCCAGCAGTAAAGCTTTCAACCCCAGAAGCCCGAAGTAATTCAGCGGAAGCACCCGGCCCCTTCCCCTGCCCAGAATCGTAGCTCAGCCCCTAAGCCCCCAGTCCTTATAGGAACCCTAAGCGAACCATTCATCCATCAGATAAACACCCCCATCAAAGCCCTCAGTTAAGATCTTGTCTGGTATATCCGAAGAGCTGCAGGAGGCCCAAACAAACGAGAGCCGGTGTGCAAGAACACCAGGACGAAAAAAAAGTCAAGGCGCACGGAAGGGTACGGCTTGCTTGAGATAGTATACCACAACACAATTTATACAAGGTAATAATTTCAGTGTCAGTATAGGGTTTAGGGTTTAGGGTTTAGGGTTTAGGGATAGTATACTACAACACAATTTATACAAGGTAATAATATGGGTAGTTATCAAAATTATAGTCCCTTCTGGGGTACCCTAAATAATAGGTGCCGTATTATAATAAGGACCCAAAAAGGGACCATAATTTTGACAACTACCCATATAGAAACATGAAAGATATGTTACTTGCGCTCTGGGAGTCGAGGGCTTTGAAGGGCAGCGAAGAGCGACAGGGGCTTCTTCGGGGTTGTCGGAACTTTGGGTCTATATGGGTTTAGGGTTTAGGGTTTAGGGTTTAGGGCCTAAAGTTTAGGGTTTTAACCCAATGAGGGGCTATGGGGTTGGTAGGGATTAGGCAAAAAGTTGCTACAAAGGTCGGAATAATTGGCAACGACAACCTTGCGGCACCCACACAAATTACATTAGTTCTATCAGCAAAAGCCTTCTTTGTTATTTGTTGACCCCTACACACCCAAAAGCCTAAACGCTGAACCGTAAACCCTAAAGCCTAAACCCAAAGCCCTGAAGCCTAAAGCCTAAACCCCAAGTCCTAAAGCCTAAAAAACCCTAAACCCTAAAGCCTAAACCCGAAGCCCTACAGCCTAAAGCCCAAAGCCGCCTCTGGTTCCTGAGAGGTGTCGGCGGCTCCCCGACAGATGTTCGGTCGACGTCGAAGCCGCTGAGGTATTTCGGGTTTCCGGGCGTTAGACTGGAGTATAGGGTTTAGGGATTTTCCGTGTGTTGGAGGGGTGTAGGTTGGGTATGCCCCCATAGACTAACAGTTTACAATAGTGCTACCAGAGGGGGCCTCATAATTTCTACCTTGTAGATAGTATCCAAGGTGTAGGCCTTTTTTGTTTGGGGCATATAGGGATTTGCTAGGCTGCGTTTTGTTTGTTGCTTTTCTTGCTAGTGGCTTTTTGGGCCCCGATTTTGGTCAAGGGCTAGCTCCTTTACTAAGTTTAAAGATTTGGGATGATTTCCAATCTCCTTCACTGTTTGGTTCGATATAATGCCCGAGCTATAGGTAGTTTTGTGAGGGCTGAAATCGACACCGAGTTTTGGATCCTCAAATCAGGGCCTCAATAACCACCGATATTATTCCTTATGGCGTTCCACATTATTGGAACTATCCCAAGTCTGCCGCGCAACCCTGTTCTAATCACCTGTTTTCTTTATGCACCACCTTCCGAACCCGAAGCCTGCGCGCTGCGATGAGGAGAAGAGGGGAGTAGCAGGTTTTTGGTGAGGAGCTTGGTTGATTCTATAAGGCCTTTACCAGTTTAGGGTTTAGGGGTTTCTTGGGTTCATCATGGGGGTGGTTCTAGTTATGGTAACACTGATACCGGTTGCACCTGACACAGAATCATAACAGCCATAGCCTTTCCTTCTTGTTGTCAGCTTAAGCAAGTCCGGTAACACAGCTTTTAACCGTTGTTCCCCTAAACCCTAA